CGGACTCAAATTCATCTGAGACACGGATGTGTCCTAGTATCTCTCAACTGCTTTCCCAAAGGGGACCTGGGCGGCCATGTTGTTTTGGAGAGTTGGAATTCCTGGGGTGTCCTGCTTTGTCCTTGCTCGTTTTTGGCTTGCCCTTGTTGCGGGTTCTCTGGCCAGCCCACGGGAGGGATAAAATCAACACGTTGACGCTGGTCCTATTTCCTTGACTTGTTGATGCTCTTAATTCTTTCATATCACTGTTGCCCCCACCATTTGACTCCCAACTTGTAGGTTGTCAGCTGCTGTCCTGGGAAGAACATTCAAACTCTGAGCACCTCCTTTGTGGATGTGAGCCTTTGGTTCAGGACCCCATATATCACGGTCCCTGGGACAAACCCTCGGTCCCTGGGACAAACCCTCGTGGCATCAAACACTGCAGGAGAAGCTTTGGTTACATTTAGAATCCTTTTCTCTAGTGCAAGTCCTTGATTTTTCTGTATAGTTTTAAGCTTGGATTCCTGCAGCCTTTTTGTAAAAAAGACTTACTGCACATGATTGTGAGGTGTGTTGAGATTTCCTTTCCCATTCTGGACATTTCTTGTCTCTTGGAAGTGGAGGGTGAGAAAACCCTTATATTGGCCAGCAGCATACAAGCATTAAATGCTTTCTCCTTAGGTAACTACCCCCCGCCGCCCCCCCATCTTTTTTCTTTCTGCATTTTCAGCATTGCTTGTTGTAGGTCCCAGTTTAAAACAAACTCCCCCTGAGCAGCCCTGAAGAACGAGTGTGGGTACTAGGTGTGTGCTTTGTGCGTGCTTGGTGCATGCTTGGCATGTGCCTGCGATCCCGATGGGCCCCGCCCCACCCCTTCCCTTTAGGCACCATTTGCTGGCGCGGCCAGTTTGCTCAGTGCTCAGCAAGCTTTGCTGATAGACCTCAGCTCTTCCTGAGGAGTTGTCAGTCATGAAGGGCAGACGTACTGTATGTCAACTTGTGGCAAACCTCATCCTTCACGTGATGTAGTCTGAGGATCAACCCTGGAATGTAATCGACTTTTAAATTTGTGAGGAGGGGGAGGAAGAGAACAAAACCTCCCACAGATGTGTTCTGTTCGGCCGGCCGTGGCTTTGCTCACGGCAGGCAGCTCGGCCACCTCCCCAGAGGATCTGGCTTGGGACCTAGTGGCACATTTCATGGTGCTTGGCCTTAACCCCCCTCCCGGAAAATATTTATAGACCTCTAATGTGTTAATAAATTTGAAGTGATGTCATGCTGGTTGCATTGGCAAGGGGAAATACAGCTGTTAAACCTGCGGTTCGTTTTCGTTCTGGGTGGGGTGGCAGAGGGAAATGAAATCCTGGTTTTTTCCTTTTTGGAAACCTAACACTGTGCTCTTTTGTCATCCCTCTTATTCTCTAGGCACTGAGCGTAACCGAAACCCTGATTAAACCTTTGGAGAAATTCAGGAAAGAGCAACTTGGAGCTGTGAAGGTTGGTGTCTCACTTGAGTGCACTTGTAAACAGAACGTGCGGCCGCCTGTGCGGCTCCCGCGTACACGCGGCTGCCACTTGGCAGCTTCGAGGAGATGCTGGAGCGAACCATCTGTTTTATGTTTTCCATGCGCTTTCTCAAACTCTTGGGGGGGATATGCAATTGAAAGCAGGACACAAACACCTGGGCAGCAGGGTACACCCTCTAGGAATCTTCTTTGGCTGCTCCTAGCCAGGAGTTTCAACAGTCGCTTAACCAAACAGCATGTTGACAACAGTCGCTTAACCAAACAGCATGTTGACTCGGAAGCCAAGCCCTTTGTCTCTGCAGGGAGAGCTGGTCCTGCCAGCTCGCCTCAACTTTTGGGACTTGTGTGGCCGGTACTGGGGCTTAAGGTTAGAAATGGTGCAGCCCCATGATGCTATTGAAATGAGCAAAGCAGGATGAGATTATTGGGGTGTCATTTCCTGCAATGAGATTGAAAGATACTGCGCTTTTGTCCCATGCCAGTGCTGTGTTGGGAATTGGAGATTCCCAGAGGGAACAACCCCACTCTGCACTCCAGGACCTGGGATTCGCCAGGACTTCGCGAACAGTGTAGGCAAGGCTCCCACAGGGAGGCTGGGATACGTTTAACGTCTTCCAAAGTTTGCAAGCTGAGCTTTGAAGCAATCCCAGAGGAATCATTTCCACCCATTTTTCCTGCATGTTACGAATGTTCTCATGGAAGAAAAAACAGCCTTCAGGTGCTGGTGACTGGCCCAATGGGAAGAGAATAGTGTCAGTTTTAGGTAAAGTGGAGAAAGCAGCTAGAGCTGCAGCTTCTCCCCACATGGTTGGGGGTGTGAGGGTTTTTGCTGAGCTGCGAGAAGCGCCGACTTTGCAGCACCACTTTGGCTATCTGGCTTCACGCTGTGACTCGAGCAAGCGTCTTTTGTGCCTGGTGGGTGAAGTGGGGGCCGGGGGGCCCTGGCTCCTCTCTGGTCCTGTGATTCTGCGTGCTCTGATCTTCATCTCCTCAAGCTCTGTTCGAGTTTGAACATCTTGGTTCTTTTAGCATTTCATTGCTAGAAAACAAAATCTACTTCCTGTTTACTTTAGTTGGATGATGGTACTTTGTAAAGACATTTAACATGGAAGTGAGAAAAAAGTGCATAGTAGGTTTATTTTTATGTATCATCACTTCAACTGGCTTTTTAGATTTCTCCCCGGTTCTCCCCTGCCCCCACCATACCTGCAAACTTGCCTGACTTTTAAGACCATGTTTGTTCAGAGTATATCCTGTGGAGTAATTGTCAAATTTCACATGAAAAGGAAAAATTTATTTTCATAGTTTTAGTCTTGCCTTGGCCAAATTCTATCCTGACGACCCATTTCTTTACTTCACCTTGGCTCCTGGGGCTTCAGGCCTATGAAGGAGCTCTCTGCTGGTCTTGCTCAGCCAGCGTCCCTGTTGGCTGTCTCCCCTGTTGCTGCGCCTTTGAGGAGGCCAGTGGTGGTAAGCCACGGGGAGAAACCTGTCTTATTTTTTAACTCACAGTTTTGTGCACTATAACAAACGGTAGTGAGGGGTGGTTTTGCTAGCTTATTCAGTAATACAGAGATGCCTCTTTCATTAGGTCGTTAAATCTTTACGAGGCTTCATTTCTTGATTTTCTATAGTCTCTCATCTCTATCCTGTCTTACTCTCTAAGAAAATTAATAACCTACTGGCCCAATAATTTGAGAAA